CCCCCCCCCCCCAAGCCCTCCAACCCCTTGCATGAGGGACCCAGGGGACTTTGTCTCGGCAAGGTCCCAGGGCTATGATCCAGAACAGAAGATAGGGGCTAATTGCAGGAGGCAGCCAAGCGGGCTGGGGGCCAAGGGCGGTTATGAAAAGGAGAGGAAAGAAAGGAGCCGTACAGGGTGGGGATGGGGTGACTGGAGCCAGAACCCCCTGCTGGCGGCGACGTTCCAGTCCTAGCTCTGCTGATTCCTAACTCGGTGACCTTGGACAAGGCCCTGCACCTCACCTTGCCCATCTGCAAATGGGGACAGCAGGTCCTCCTCCAGCCGCGCTGGCTCACCGTGCCAACAGCCCTTGGTGGTTCTTGTTCCTGGACTATGACACTGGCCCCCCAGCCCACAGCTGTGGCCCAGGGCCTTCCCTGGGTGTGGGGACACCAGCCCTGTACCTTCACCACAAAGTCCTCCCCTTGACTACAGGGTAGGGATGGTCAGGCTCTGCATGTTACAGAGGGGGAAACTGAGGCTCCGAGAGAAAGCACCCACCCGGTCACCCATGTGGGGGTGGAGCTGGGATCTGAGCTCTCTGGAGAAGAGCTGGGAAGAGAATTCCCTGCTCCCCTGGGTCCTAGGATGTGCCCACAGGAAGCCAGTACTGCAGGCAGAAGAGGCCTGGCCAGGACACGGGGGATGGCTTTAAGTCTAGGCGAGGGTTCAGGCTGGAAGAGACCCCAGAAGGGCAGGAAGCAGGCCCAGCAGGGATTGGGGGACGGACAGGGGTAAGGGGTGAGCCAAGCCAGCTCTGCACAGCCCCAGGGCACCCTGGTTCTGGGGGTTGGGGGGGGTGTCTCAAAGTCTCACCGCATTCCTGGGGCTGGGGGCGGCCTCTTGGATGCCTTCCCGGGCCTCCCCCTCCCCAGGCACAAAGCCTCTTTTCTGCCTCTTGTCCCTCGGCTGCCAAGGGGTGCCTGGGGCGCCGGGCTGGGGGTGGAGGGAGGGCTGATGGGGCGAGACATCCCCATGCTGTCTCCAACGATGCTGGGCTGGGGCCACAAGGGGAAGTCCTGGCAGGGAGGCCTGCGGATTCCTCCAGCCAGGGGGTCCCTTCCCCCACCTAGGGCTGGGTGATCGCAGGAACCACTATGTCAGGGGCCCCGGCGGTCCTTTGTCCATCCTGACAGCAGGCCTGGGAGCAGGGGGGTCCTTTGTCCATCCTGACGGCCTGGAGCAGGGACGACGAGAGGAGCAGAGAGGAGAACGGTGAGGAAGCTGCGTAGGAAAGTGAGAGCCGAGGACCTGCCTGAGGTCGCACAGGGAGTGGGGGGGAGAGCCAGGGCCGGGACGCTCGCACCTCACCATGACCCACGGACCTTTCCCAAACCTGCCAGCTGACGACCTCTGCTGGGTCAAAGGGACCCGGGGTGGGAACTGAGGGCCTGGATTGAGGTGCCTCCACTACTCTCGAGGCCTCAGTGCCCCCGGGGTTCTGTGATGCTCAGGCCATGGTGAGCCTTCTGTGAGCTGATAGGGCGACAGTCCCCAGACACCACCAGATACCGACCCGCAGCCACATCCTGCTCCCTGGATGGGGGGGAGGTGAGGAACCCAGGTTGGGACGCCTTGTCCTGGACTTAAGTCCCCTGGACCATCATCCTGATCCTGACGACGGGAATTCCCAGGTCGGAGTCTCAGTCATCTTAGCACCTGGGACCCTGGGGGCTCACATCCCTGTGCTAGGCAGGTCATGTCCCCTCTCTGGGCCTCAGTTTCCTCTAAGAAACAGGGGCCACAAAATCGCTTGCCTCCTAAGGCAGTTGGGACGGTTCTGGAAGCGATGGGTGCAGGTGAAATAGCCAGCCCAGGCCTGCGGTGGTCAGCCTGCAGGAGGTGGTGGCTGTGACAGCTGCCACCTGCCCACCCCTACCTCAGACAATGGCTCTTCTGGCCTCTGACGCCTCAGCCACCTCTCCTCTCCAGCCCTGCCCAGGTCACCTGCTCTTGCTAGCCTAGCGGAGGCATGCTGGCCCCCCTGACCGACCACTCACTGGGCAAGGAGAATTTCTGAAAAGAATTTAAAAAGTGAGGCCTTGGGGGTGGGGGCTGGGCAGGCATTTGAATGCGATGAAAGGGCCTAAAGAGGCCTGGCTACTCTGTATTGTTTGCTGGGCTGGCCCCTTAAGAGGGGACAGCAGCAGGGGTAGGGCTGCAGCCAGGACAGGGGCCAGGCAGGTTCAAACAGTGTCATCAGGGCCAGAAAGACACAGATGTGAATCCCAGCTCTCCTATTAATGGCCCATGAGCCTAGTCTAGGCCCTAGAACAGTGATGGCGAACCTATGACATGCGTGTCAGAGGTGACACGCGAACTCATTTTTTTGGTTGATTTTTCTTTGTTAAATGGCATTTAAATATATAAAATAAATTATCAAAAATATAAGTCTTTGTTTGACTATGGTTGCAAAGATAAAAAAATTTCTCTATGTGACACGGCACCAGAGTTAAGTTAGGGTTTTTCAAAATGCTGACATGCCGAGCTCAAAAGGTTCGCCATCACTGCCCTAGAAGATCATGTTAATTTTCTGGGACCTCAGTTTGCTCATCTGTTAAATGGGAACACGTGCTCCCAAGCTTCATCCGGTCCTTGAAGGATGGATGCGGACACTTCATGTGAAGGACCCTCTCACTGGAAGATGCCCCAGAAACACCAGCAGAGAGAACGCCCCCAGCTCCTGAGAGGGCGGCAGGAAGACAGTACTTCCTCCCTATCTCTGCCCAAAATGCCAGGTCCCTGGGGGCCAGCACTGACCCAGGGGCACTGAAACTCCACCCCAGTCTTCTTCCTCCCAGTGAATAAATAGCCGGGACTAAAAACAGCCAGGAGCACGGAAACGGGAGGCGAGTCCCCCAAGTGTCAGCTGGGGGAGGTCCTGGGCTTTCCTATGTGCACGGCAGGGGGTGAAGGGGTGGAGGCTTGGGTTAGGGGCGTCCCGGGGGGGGGGGTTCTCCCCGTTGTTCCCCTTCCCCCTTCCCCCTCCTCTGGGACTCCGGGGCGAAATGGGGTGGGGGGTGTTGGAGAAGGCTGCCAGGGCTGCCGGTTCTAGACACATGGATAGGGGGACCCCCCGCACTTTTTGGGGACCCCCGCACTTTGGGGAGCCTCTGCCAGATAGTGGAGCGGCCCAGGATCTCCTCTTGCCCTCCCCCCCCCCCCCACTACCCCGGCCCCGGCTCTGGGCTGGCACTGCGGGTGGGGAACAAGGCCCTTTCCCAGTCCGGGCATGCACGAAGGTTGCAGGGGTAGGGGGAAAAGGAGGGCCTGGTGTCCTGGCCCCCCACCCCGGGCTGGCAAGGCACAGAGGTGGTGGGTGTGGGGGGAAAGACTTTTACCTGCTCCCCCGAGAACTGGGCTCCCCCGACGCTCCACACGGCTTTGCCCCCCCGGGAGAAGGAGTCCCGAGGCAAAACAGCGCCCTGGCGCCGGGGGACACCGTTGAGTCACCGGGGCACTCTGAGGAGGACCTTTGCAGGTGTCATACGCTAACGTTATGTTCAGGTGGTCAAGTATTTCAGGGGGGC